AAGTGTTGGAGAAACAGGCTTGGTTATCAAAGGTGGGATGCAATTAAAATAACTTCAAAAAAAACTCAGAGGGGAGAAAGGTGGCGGCAAAGGTCAAATATTTTATTAGAAATAATAAAAGAAATATTTAGAAAATAAAGTAATAAATAAAGTAAATGATTAATGTAACCTTGTAATAACCTCAGTCCAATGACTTAATATACCATCATTTTGCTTGTGTTTAGTGCTGATAATTTTTTTTATAATCATAATACAGGCTAGATAAGCCAATCTTTTTTTTCTAATTAATTTTTGACCATACAAAGAAAAGGAGAATAGTATTTTAAAAAGGAAGGCTGCCATCAGAAGACACACTAAAGTTAATTACTTAACTTTAGGCCCCCTCAAAAGCTGCTCTTTGATTTCATATTGTGGGTAGAAGTTTAAAGAATTTCAGAAGCATTTCAGAGGTGTAAAAAAAAAAAAAAAAAAAAAAAACAACTGTAAAGTTTTTTTTTCCTTAACAAATCAAAATGGTATTGGGGCTTTTAACTAAATGTTTGATTAAAAATAAATAGGTTTGATTTGCCATGAGACAAAGTTTATATTTTACCAATATTTTACCAAATTAATTGTTAGTTATTTTAACTAGTCCTACTCATACATAACAAAAATAAAAACAAACATACTTTGCTTAATTTCGAAGCCAAATTTAATTTTGAGGAAAATTATCTGTGTCTCAGTTTTTAAGCTTATAATCATCACACTTTAATTTTTTTTCCTTTGTTACTAGAGCCCATACTTATATCCATAGCTGTAAAGATAAAGAAACTTTACCACTGTTCCTATATCATAAGGAACATGTGATCATTGTGACTATAAGGAGGGGCACAGCCATAGAACAGCCTTCATAAACAAACAATATTTAACTTCAACTGAAATAGAGACAATTCTACAGAACTTTATGTGATATATTGTAGCCTGTTTTAAAACGCGGATACGTGGTTTATAGACTGGGGCGTTTAATACAACATTTATAGAGTAAAAGAACATTTTCAGCAAAGACAACAGGTGCGTCTAAAAACATCAGACAATTAGGATGGTTTAGATGAGAACATTGACATTTTTTTTTAACATTGTGGATGTTGTGTTGAATCCACCCAGTATAAATAGGAAGTATCTCCTTACCATTAGTGCAAGTATCGTTGTTCAGGTGAAACTCTTGCATTTTGTTGTTGGCCAGGTAGCCTGAAAGTGATCCGGAGAAACGCGGCTCAAACCGAAAAGTGCGTCTTTTCCCCACGTCCAATAGAAACGATCGACTTCTTAAAATATTCTACATAGAATCCATATAAAATGTGTTGCAGAGGCGGACAGCGGTATAGCCCGTGGTTTCTGAGAATCAGCCGCAGCCTGAGGAAGCTCAGGTGACCACGCCCCGCTGGAGGGAGAAGCTGCACAGGTGTTACACAGAAAAGCGCGTGTCCGCCGAGATTTGCATGCTTTGTCCCTGGAACGCGCATCGCTCAATGCAACATCCAGGCCAATACATCCGGTGGCGCCACCAGGGGGGGCCACGGCCACCCTGTGCAATGCCCCGGCCACACCACCTGCCAGTGTAAATTGTAGTTGCATCAGTTTAGTTCAGTTAAGTAGCTTTTATTTATCCCAGTGCTTTTATTTTGTGCAGTAGTAGTACACCTTTCACACACATTCATCCTGAGCTATCTCTATAGCTTTGCTGCTATAGGCTTAGACTTCTGGAAGACATAAGGACCCCAATTTCAATATTCTGCTTCATTCTATCTCTATTTTCTCACTCTGCAGAATCTATTAGTTCAATCTATAACGTTATGTTCTCTTTGCTTTTTCTAGTAGTAGCTTCGCCTCGTCTGTTCCTGTTTGGCTGTGACACCCCCTTGTTTATAGATGTAGGAGATTGGCCTGTTTTCCAGTGTAGTCCTGTTTCTCTGACTGTTACTGGCTTGATGTGATCTCTTCTTCTTTGACATGGGAGTTGGCTCGGACCTCGTCTGCCTGGTTGTGTGTTTTTTCTGGACGGGGCCGTGTTTTACAGCTGCTTTTTGTATGTCTGCTTCTGTCTTCTTGAACCCCAGTCGGCCTCAGCAGATGGCCGCTCACACTTAGCCTGGTTCTGCTGGAGGTTTCTTCCTGTTAAAAGGGTGTTTTTCCTCTCCATTGTCGCTACAAGCATGCTTAGTGTGAAGGATTGCATTCAAGTCAATGAGTCGATGCAATCAACTGGTTTTCCTTAGACAGAAAACTTTGAATGAATTTGTATGATTTGGTGAACTGTAAAGTGCCTTGAGATGACATATGTTGTGAATTGCTGCTATATAAATAAACTGAATTGAAACTTAATTGAATTCAAACTTAACACATAAAAACACAAGAAACACATAAAATATTTTAAAAAGATAAAAGTAAGGTGGATAAATAAATAAATATGTGCAGTTCAGAGGATGAATAAAAGCATGGGTCTATATGCATGCAACGTATGACTATCTGCTTTTCCCAGAAGAGTTTAGCAGCTGAACAGCAGAGGGAATAAAGGAGTGTTTGTATCTATCGGTCTGAGCTGGTGAATATTTAAAACAGGAACCAGAGGGTAGAAACTGGAATTCGCTATGTAGGGGATGGGTGTAATTATCCTAGATGGGCTCAGCCTCCTTAATTACCTGCTCTTCATACATTTCAGTCATGTTTTTCCGTTGAACACCTGTGATTTTACTGCATACATTAATTATGTTGGATATGGCATTTTTGTTCTTTAAATGAAGAACAGCATACCAGCAGATGGCAGAGAAGGTAAGTATTTACTCTATAAAAGATCTATAGAACATGGTTATCAGAGTCTTGCTGCCCTTTCTTACACAGCATGTCTGTGTTGCTGTTAAAAGTAATGTTCATCAGTTTAGCATTTCATCCCATTATGCACAGCCAGCGCCGTAACATTAAAAATCACACAATAAACCAAGATATGAGTAGGTGCTTACTTAAGTCTTTATTATCTCTACATGCAGGTTTACCACAATATTAGATTCAAACCCTGAAATTATGGCTTTTAGTTTCAGTGTGCCACCCCAAGATTTTTAGTGGCCCCATCTGGCCACCCCGATGAAAGATTTCTGGAGGTGCCACTGAATGCAACTACCAGAATAAAATAACATCAAATGGGTTTAAATGAGTGAACGTATTTCTTTACAAAAAGCGCACAGAGCTGCCAATAAAGCGCTAAATTTGGCCATCTGTGTAAAATCTATGAGCGAACACAGCTTTGTTGTTTGAAAAGTATTATTGCATTTAAGTAGGTAGACTTTGACAGAAGGACGAGTCTGTTTTTTTAGAGCCATGCATTTTAGGTATACCAGATTGTACATCTAAACTCACAGAATAAATAAAAGACATATGATCAAAAGTTTTTTTTATAAAAAAAAAAATCATGCTTTTCATGTCAAGTGCAGCTAATGTTTCCACAGTTTTAGAACTGTTGCCTTTTCTATGTCTGCTTCTGTCTCCTTGAACCCTGGTTGGCTTCGGCAGATGGCAGCTGACAGCTGACAGTGCGCCTGGTTCTGCTGGAGGTTTCTTTCTGTTAAAAGGGAGTTTTTCCTCTCCACTGTCGGTACAAGCATGCTTATTGTGAGGGATTGCCTTTGAGTCAATAAGTCGATGTTATCAATAGATAGAAAACTTTGAATCAATGTGACTGTATATCAGTGAACTGTAAAGTGCCTTGAGATGACACGTGTTGTGAATTGGCAGTATAGAAATAAACTGAATTGAACTGAACAGAACTATGTGCTGAAAACTGTGGTGGATCATTTATTTGCACATACGCCCACAGCCTTTATTAAATCCTTACATTCCAGACACCCTGCTTTTTTTGCCTTAAATGTCAACTGACATTTAAGTACTCTATAAATAAATAAAAATGTATGAATGTTGTAAAATTGTGCATAGTAAAAAAAAAAAAAAACATTGCTCTACATTGATATAAATGATTACAATAGTAAAATAAATTCCAATCTTTTTGGCATTTTTACATGACCACTCAGAAGTATGATGTAGCCTGTTGGGTGTCATCACAGATATCGAGTAAAGATGATTCAACAGCAAAAGAACAGTTCAGTTAGTGGCACAAAGGCACCAAACACTGTTTGTCAATGACCATAAAAATAAGAAGAAGAAGCAGGAAAAGCAATAAGTCCATCCAAATTCAGCGGCTCATCTTAAATTGATTTATCTTTAGCTGGAAGAGGCGTCTGGGATAAGGGAAGGCCCTGGAGTCTCACCCGCTGCTCCCACGACCTGGTCCTGGAGAAGCAGAAGATAAAGATATGATATCTACACTTCTTTTAGCAGTGTTTAACAAAGCCTTAAGTAATAAATGAAACAAGGCTTGGTAACCTTGAACACTACAAACACACTCTAGTTACAGTGAGAGTAAAAATAATAGCATTGCATTACTTAGCAATGGTTATAAAATCTTGGCATCTTTACAAACCAAGGATGAGCAGCCTCACCTTATATCTTCCTACTAGTTGCCCAAATACTGAACTACTTCATATGCTGCTTTTAACGGTTTTCATGTTTTTTATTAAGAAATCAAAATGTTATAATATGCAGACATTTGATATTGTTATTCCTCATTGTAAAAATATCAACAAATACTAAAGTGGTCTGACTTTAGTCTCCTGATGATCCAGTCCACTAAAACTAAGTTTAATTGTTGGTTTGCCATGGATTTATCCTTATATTATTTTATTTATTATTATATTCTGTTGAGCAAAGTAGAGGGGATATCCCCTAGCAAAAGTTTTAGTATTTTTATTGTCCCCAAAACCACTTGTTTCCACTCAATTAAATTATTTTCTAATTCGTCTGGAAGATTGAGCCTCATAAGGTAAAAAGGTCACTTAAAGGAATGGATTAATCAAAACACAGCAAATTGTAGCCCCTAGCTCCCGGTCATAGCTCCTATTGTTTCACCTTTAGTCAGGTCAAAAATAAGATCAATATAGTGGGTAGAAAAGAAAATCCAGAATGCTGAACCAGATTTGTACAGCTTCAAGTCTGGCTCCAGTTATGGTAGTGCTTGGTTGAACCTGTCACCTGGGCAAGCCCCATATGATTTCTAAATAGCCCCCAATCTCACGAAAAGAAGAGATTTAGTGCATGAATGTTAAAAAGATCTTTTAAGCCCAAAAATTACATTAGATTTCATCTTTATACCTACAAACTATCAGATTTTTCTTTCTATTGCATTCCCTAATTATTTGCCTGCTCCACCTAACCTGACTATGAGTCAATTGAAAAGCAGGACAATTGTAATTTGTCAAAACAGGGCATTGCAACTTCACATAGGCATTGTAGAGAAGTCCAAAATGGTTCAGTCCAGGGGTGAAAACATTAACTGATGGTTGCAAACTATCTTGCACAGCTGTGCAAGAGCACACAGAAAGAAGCTAGGCTGACCACCATTACTATCACCATGAAAAAGTTTTGTCCTTTAACTCCAATCGAAGCAACCTAAAGAAGCGAATCACATTAAAAAGTCCTTCAGATCATCACACTACATTTCACAATTGAAGCAAGTCTACATTTACAGAGACAGTCGTGCAAATGTTTTAACACAACACAAATAACCTATGGCTATGTACAGCACTACAGCTACACTAAGTCTCCTGTTTTTTGGGGGGAAATTTGGCCCAGTTTCATCATTTGCAAAATAATGTCCAAATATTTGCTAAATACGACATGCAGGGGTTTTAGTGTGCACTTGTCTAATTGCTAATTGTTTTATATATTCAGTCAAGAGCTGTAATTTTCTTAGCCACATTCAAGGTGCACCATGTAAAACCGTACACATGGGAAATGAGGCAATTTCAGTACAAGGTTAAATACATCCTTAAAATGTAAAAAAAAAAATTGCAACTGTGTTAGAAAAAATATTACCAAAAAGTAGGCCTTTTATGGACTCTTAAAATGACATTGGGCTGTAAAAGTGCAGAGTAAATGCAAAGAAAACTCACTTTAAAATCAATCTAACATATTTCTAATAAAGGAGTGGGATAATAGTCCAACTTCTTTTACAAAAGGAAATGATTAAATAAATATGTGAAGAGCTTATCCCTCACAAAGGTATAACCAACATTATTTCTATGAGGATACCTCAAACATGAAAGTACTCTGCCTATGTAGGTCAGACAGCAGGTCTACACAAATATTTAGTGGTAAAAATTTTGTTTACAAATACGTCATGTGGTAATGTCATTAAAAGAGATCTGTATCTCAGTGCAGGCATATTAATGTATATTTAAGCATACTTATGAACATTTTAGGTCAGAAATATTATGCTTCTGCCAAATCAAAATTTAAAAAAAATTATAATTTGACATTTAAGGCCAGTCTGTCCTGCAGTCACTAGGGGGCAGTAATGCATTTTGTTGTTTTTTTTGTCCTTAATATCTTCTTTGTAGTTTAAATGTATATTTTCAGCAATTCATTGAGAAACAAACTCTCTCTCTTTTTTTCTTCCGGTCAGAATATTTATCTGACTTTAATATTACCCCAGTCACAGATTAGAAGCATTTTTCTCACATTCTAAGATGAGAAATAAACTGGATGAGTGGATGCCAAGACCTTGTATTTAGACACTGTATACATATTACAATATCAAAATAATGAGATAGTAGTTCAGAAAATACTTTGCTCTCTCTGTCTGAAATAAACAATAAAAACCTAAATGATTCCTTTCAGCTGCTATTATTCAGCTATTATTATTTCAGGAAACTCCATTGTGGGACATAGTGCTAGAGCCGAGTTCTTTTAAAATGTCTTTTGTTTTATAAAAGATAAAATGTATTAGATTGTTGTAGAATGTATTAAGGTATTTATCAAAGGTATATCTAGTCAGTATGCATAGTATGAAGGTATGCAGGTAAAGAAAATCTTCAGACTTACTCATAGAATTGCTTCCAAAGCTGGTAACTTAGTGTCACCATGTTTCTCCAACTGTTGATGCCACCTAAATATCACAAAAGCAAGTTAAATTTTCTAAGCAAATCTCACTTAAAACCAAATGTTATATTTGTATGAGACCAAGGTTAGCTTTCTGACAACAAACACTTGAGGTGTGCAAAAAAGAATATATATTTTACAAAAACTCTCATCATCCCCAGTTTGGTAGAGTATCTATCATATGGAGCCTAGGCGGAAATTCAACTGAAGTAACTCATTGTTTTCTATATCCTCCTGCGACACAGCCAATCAGCTTTGAACCACGCCTCCACAAAAGCCAATCGGCATCCAAAGTTTATCTCAAAAGGCCTCCGATACACACTTGTCTGCTCCTGTGGGCAGGCGGTGGATGCACTGTGTGACACAGTTTCAACCCACCTCCAGCCCCTCCTCCATCATCGTACCTAAAGCTTCATCAGAGTGTCATTCCTCCCGGACTCTTACTGCGTTCCCTGTCTCATCTTAACCGGTCCGGCAGAAGACTGCCATGTTGAGCCTGGTTCTGCAGGGGGTTTCTTCCCAACGGGAAGTTTTTCCTCTCCACTGTTGCTTCATGCTTGCTCATCATGGACAGGTTCTCTCAACCTGTGTTATCCAAACTGGACTTCCATCTTCCAGGTCCCTGGGTGAAGCTTAAGTATCAGCTCACACAGTCCACTGGATCTCCAATAAAGGTCAGCAGACCATCTCGCTAACTGGCAGTCTACAGACTGACGAACTTCATCTATCTCCACTCCACCATCAGTTTCAGGCCTGGGGGGAAACAGCCCTATTCTTCACTCCTTTTCATGCATATCTATCAAAATTAAGTGCTATGTTTCCAGCCGAGGTCTGAGCGCCAAAGACAAAGTAATGTATCAATAAATTTCTCCTAATCATCTTTTCTCTTTTTGTGAGTTTTTCAGATTGAACCCTATGCCTTCTTACAGTGTATTCATAGCATATCTAAAATCAAAGGAGAAACCAAGCAGTGCCAGAAAATTGAACGTCTTTGTGAGCATGATTATGATAAAAAAAAAATATGGTGAAATATCAGGTGACCAAAAACCTAATAACTTCAAAAGTTAGACTGCTTATATTTGAAGACTAATTGCTAAGGACCTCGAAGCGGTAGGTTTGTCTGAGGTCGCATGATAAGTGGTGTCCCGAAGTAAGGAAGGAGGTAGGAACAGGAAGCAGGGTGCTTCATTCTGCAAAGGAACCTGCAGATGTTCCTATTCTCTGCTTAGGAGCTGTTTGTTTTCCCACAATCCTTTGCACAGAGACATAAACACAGTCCAACTCACAGAATTGAACAAAAACACATTATTTCATGAAATGTATAATACGTAGCTCATGTAAATGCACTCACCCTAATATATTTTGGGTTTTACAGTGTAGAGCTTCAGAAGTCTTCCATAAGTGTAACTTTTGTTACACTTATGGAAGGAGTTAGGAACAAGAGGTAGGAGCTACAATTTACCCAATTCCTAACCAGCCAGGGGTTAAACCCATAGCTAAGTGAATAAGATGAAGGAAAGCTAGGCTTTTATTTTTGTTTTTGTTTTCTAAACCTGGATTGTCCACCTATAAAAAATATGAACAAAATAAACGCAAATTCAAATTTCTTTGATGGAGCCCCTGGTTTCCCACCTATATTTTATAAAATAACTTTAGGTAATGTTTTTTTAAATCAGCTACAAGGCTCACTGTCAGGCTATAACACCCTTTGGATCCAAAACACAACAGTTATGTTATTATTTTTATTTTAATGTTTTTTCAAGTTAAGACAGATTTTTTTTTCTTTGTTGTGTAAGCATAGTAATAATAAACTACTGGCAAACACATTTTCTGTGGTCTGAACATCTTTTAAAACTTTGAGTTTAACATTTTACACATTTATGTTGGTTAAACCTCAACTAGAATAGTCTACTCTAAGGTAAAATCAGCTAAAAAATAATCAGACTTTTGTGGAACCTTTATTTGTGCATTCATTATCTGTTTTGGAATCATGCAAAAAATATTTTGAGTTCCTTATTGGCATTAAGAAACACTGATGTAATTATATCCCTAAATTGAAATGAGATGTTGACAAATTTAGTTTTTGATATATGTGAATAGTAGCCTTATCTATCAATATACATGCATTTCAATAGCATTGTATCCCTAAACAATCGGTATGCAAACACTTATATCCAACTGAGGTAGGAATGTAGATGTTTGGTTGGGTATAATGTTTCCATGTGCAGAGAATAGTATAGGAGATACCCCAAGATCTAGACACATAGTGCAAAGAGGAAATGTAAAGATTTTCCTCTCCCCATGGTCCATCAATTTGAGTTCTAATTTTCTCTCTTATTCCAAAACTAAAGGCCACTAGAGCCCCAAAAAAATTATCTTTAAAAAGATAATACCCAATATAATCTAAAAAAATGTGTGCTGTAAGGTTTAATAAAAACAAAGGAGAGAGTTTTGTGAATATTTAATGCTGAGAGCTCTTTTTATATATTTCAAAAAGTTTCTTTATGCAAACCTTTACTATTTAATTAGTGGCTTTTGAATATTGTATGTTTGATACATGATAAAGAAGGGACATTTTCTGATAAAATCCAAATCAATACAAAAGAAAGAAGTCCATACATTAAAAAATCCAGATGTCTCAATTCATAAAACTTTAATTTTTTTTTTTGCAAAAATAATCCATTTCTCAGCACGTCATTGACTGCAGCTGGTTCTCTGAAAGAGATCCGCACTGCTGCTCTGCAGAGGCTAGGGTGAAGGTGGTTTGCGGGGGTTGCTTTAAGTTAGCCAAAAATCTTAGGTGTGCTTGGTTACGGGTGGCAGTATTCCTGCAGTACAGCGATGTTGCAGGGGTTGTGGCAGCACTGCTCGACAATGCCTCTCTTAACCATCATCTGCATCTGATCCTCAAAGGACAGCTCAGGCACCTCATTTTCACCCGCATGAGCCGACCCTGTGTCTGTCTTTGAAGGGAATATGCCTAATGGAGTGAAAAAAAGAGGAAAAAAATGCATTAGATTAGAGCAAAATTATGCTCAATGTTATGTTTTTCTTCCAAAAAAAAAATGGTTACAACCACTAATAACAAGTAAGGTTAATTAATATGAAAGAAAAGAAGGAAACAGAACTGAACTTTCAACCTGAATGGACACAATTGATTTAAATCTTGAATCACTTTTGAAAAGAAAGAGTTGAAATAAATAAAAACAATAGTAAAGAAGTTCAAAATATGTGTGGTGAGCCTTTGGTGAAAGAATTGCTAGGATGCGATTAGGTGCAAAAAAGTGCAAATAAATACATTCTGAAAAAGAAAACAACCTGGAATTGGAACTAGAGGAGGGAGAATATATACAAAATTTATAAAAAAAAATCTAAAAAAGAACAAAACAAAATTTTACAAATGTATACTTATCATACGATGATTTTTTTTAAATGTGATTTTCAATGAGATGAGACAAAAGTCCTCCTTGAAAACATTTTAAGTTCCTATCTCTTCACTTAAATACCAGTATAAAAATTCATCCAGGTAACATAATACATATTTTTCTCAAATGAGTTAATCAGCTACATTTGGTAAAGTGTGGATTGCTCACCCAGAATATGGTCCACATCTCTATTGGGGCGGTAGTAGAAGCCCCTCTCCCCACATACCAGGTAGAGAGCATCAACCAGGTGAGAGCCGCACAGGTGCTGTGGAGCAGAAAAAGCCTGGGACCCCGGCCAAGATACAACCAGTAAGACCAGCAGGGAGAAGGACTGGAGCCACAGTGCCGCCATGCCGAAGGAGAACTGAATGCACAGAGATAGATTCTTTATACAGGAGCAACGAAACACAGAGAAGGTCATCAGTAGAGGTGGAGCAGAATCACTCACTTGTCGGGAGTCTGAGGAGGAGGTGACACTCTAATGAGGATGAAGAGCAGAGGCAGCTGAGAGCTGGTTGGTGTGAGGCTGAATGAAGAGAGTCGTCTCCTTTTATAATCCAATACCTCCTCAAAGATAAGCCCAGCCCCATTTTTTTTCAGTTCTTCTATTTCATAATGGAAACATGCATCTGATCTAACAATACAAAGAACATGATTAAACTGAAAATGAAAAACAAAATAATCTGTATGTCACCTTTTGAATTAAGGAAAAATACACCAGCTTTAATTCAAATAAATGTATATCTGACCAATTGCAAAAAAGATAATGAGGTGTGACATCTGTGAAGTAAGCTGCTGGTCAGCATTTATTCAGCAACACTTTGTATTTCTGATTGAGTGGTTCCAGCACTTAGCTAAGCAAACAAAAGGTAATGACCCAAAATAATCAGATCACCTCATACAAACAAATATTGATCAGCTAATAACCTCCTGCTCCATCTGCTGAGGTTAAAGTAAATAATTCCAACCCTTTTTGAGGTTGACTTTCTAATCTGTTTTTATCTGGAAAGTTTTTTTCTGCCCCTTCTGGGCTTAAATCTCAAATAAGATGCAAATGGTTTAGACTGTAAGCTTGAAATTATCATTATTAGTTGCTTAAAGAACTCTTTGATTTTGTAATGTTATACTAAATTATTCAATTTAATTTTCAAACATAGAGATCATCAGGTTTCAACACTGGTAACACTATATTACTGTTCAAAATATACTAACACTGTTTAGTTAAGTATCTATTCATTTATCACAGGTCACCTAACCATTTTGGAACCTACAGAACAAGATTTATTAAAGTACTTGATTCTTTCTATTTCTGTGGCTGGACAAATCAATTTAGTAAAAATTAATACCCTGCCAAAATTTCTCTTTCTCTTTCAAAGCATTCCGATTTTTATTAACTATGCCTTTTTTTAAAAACTAGATAGATTTCCAGCTTAATGTTGAATAAAAATGCCCCTCAGATAAAGAAAGACTTCATACAAAGATCCAAGTTGGAAGGAGGAATGGGTCTAGCTCATTTAAAATTCTACTATTGGGCCTCAAACTTACGGGAGCTTTACTATTGCCTCAGGCCTGGCTTGAAATAGAGAAAAATGCTTTTCTCCTAATTGATTGATTGACTTTATCGATCTCAAAGTGGAAAAATGTACTTGTTTTTTTTATTTCTATTTTTTTGATTGATTGATTACAATTCTTTATCAGTCTCACACTCACTTAAAATTTGGTCTACAATCAGAAAGTACTTTTGGTGGCACTTTGGATCACTTCGGACTACTCTAATTCAAACCATTATTTGCTTCTTCTCTGTCTGACACAAAGTTTTGTGAATGGCACAAGAAGGGGATTCACTCCTTAAAGGATCCTTTTATTGAGGATACATTTTTTATTCCAACATCTACAAGCAAAGTTTTATCTATCTCAGTCCCGTCCTTTTAGATATTTCCAGATTTTGTTAGAAAAAAACACCTAATTTGTCTCTAACATATCAGGTAGTACATCAATGGATTCTATATTCTTATTCTATCAAAATGAGGGATCCTGATTCTTTACACTAAACTCCTACGTTTAAACAAAGCCACCTCTTTAAAAAGCTTGGATTATTTTCTCCTTTCTTGGAAAGGAGCTATAAAAACGGGTGCACTCCTCTTTGGTCTGTGAGAGAAATAGGCTCTTGCAATTTAAAGTACTCCATCCTCTCCATTACTTTTATCTAAGGTAAAGCTCTGTATCGTGATAGAAATCCTGCATGTGATAGATGCAGCCAATCACCAGCCTCATTAGTCCATATGATCAGGCACTGTCAGAGAATAGTAAGATCCTGGCAAAAGATTTTCCAATTTTTTTAGACATCATAGGAAGAGTGGTTGACTCTAACCCTCTGACAGCTTTGGAGTTATAGGACCTGGTCTAGTTCTATTTCACTGTTACATGATGACATTTATATCTCTTCTAGCACTTAAATAGATTCCATTAAACTGGACGCAGGAAAGATATCATGCAAAACCAACAGTTAGAAAACTTGTCATTCTCATCGAATAGAATTCCACTTTATGGTCATTACTCTGTCACAAGTAGTAAAGCCTTGGGGAGCAGTGGGCTGCCATTGTGAGGAGGTGTGGGGATTAAGGGTTTTGCTCAGGAATCAAGGGTGGCAGTCTATGGGAATGGAGTTTGAACTCAGAACCTTTGGGATCAATTTAGCATAATTTTATAGATTACTTCTAATTAAGAGGAAACCAACTCTTCCCATAATTAAACCTGATGTTAATATGATAACAGCATTGAGCTACTCGATATCCACTTTTAATTTTTTTTCCCTTTTTTTTCTTTTGAGTGAATATGTCATTGATATGTCAAATTTGAAAATGCATATAAAAGAATGTTAAGAACATATAAAAAAATATTTGGTGAAAGGAGGGCATAGAAGCAGATTTTCCAGGGCGAGTGGGTAGTGATTTTAAGATTTACTTTTTTTTACACACAAATCAGACAGCAATACTGCTTAAACTAGAAAAAAAATCATACAAAATACATATGTTAGCTTTACTCAGGTACCAAAATTTAACTTGATAGCTGGAGCTATTCTTCATATTGGATGATAACTAATGAATGATATCATCTGCTGTCAACGCCTCAACTGTTGTTAATAACTTTGTCAGTATGATTGTATTTATTTTGTCTATATGTATTTTATATGGTGCTGTTTTGTATTTCATGCCTCATATTGTACAGCGGTTTGGGATGATTGTCTGAGAAAGGTGCTTTATAAATAAACCTTACTTACTTACTTACTTATCACTCAACTGCCTGGACCCTGTATTTAAAAAAAATGGGTTATTTACAGTTTCAGTGTCATTTATTTTTAGTTTTGATATTTAGTTTTTATTTTCATATCACAAGTTATGCAACAACAACAAAAAATTAAATAAAATACAGAGGATGGTAGTTACAGCCATGGGTATATCCCATGTAATTATATAGAAATGTACAAAAATACTGATATACTAATATTGATGACCAAACACCAGTTATTATTTTGAAAAAAAAAAAAAGTCTAGGCAAATGCTGTTTGGGTTTTCTTACTTATATTTAAAGGGTAAGGAAACTGTGTCGCAAACATTATTGAATCCTTTTCTATTTATATTTTTTGCAAAAATTATTTTAAAAAATTTTTTTTAAATGATTGTTCCCTTGTAGAGCAAAAACACACAAGTGGTATCCATACCAGGACTTGGAAATAACTTTAATTTTAATAACTTTTCCTGTGCCTAACCCTTACAGTTAACCTTAACCATTAAAGGTTAATTCCTAACTCTAACCTTAACATCAACCTACTTTATACCAGATGAAAAACCCTAATATTACATTAGGACTGGTTTTTTTAATAAGTAAAAAGCCTGTTGATTTTCAAAAGGTATGTGATTTTACTAAAAAGGTCCTGAACACACTATATAAACACAGACGGGGGCACTACCTAATGGATATGTCTATGAGGTGCTGACAGAGCTTGTGTTGGAGCTTGTTTGTCACTTTTAATGGAGACTCAATGGACTGTGAATTGCTAATGACGGAGATCTTCCAGGATAACACACTTCTGGGAATTATTAGTATTTGACAAAAGTCTGGCTCATCAGGTTTTTCCAAGAACATTTCAATAAAATTTTTTAATCATGTTAGCTAAAACTTAAAGTATAAAAAAACAAAACAACATATTTATTATTTACATATTCAGGTATGTTGCGTATAAAGTTTTCAGACTTAAAGCTATACAAAAGTGTTGTTTCAGAACCACCTGTTCTTGCATTTTGTATTCTAGCCGTTAGGTATGCCTTTTATCTGACTTTACAGCAGAGGCGGCAGTGGGAGAATATCCACTTCATGACAATAATCATTTTAAACAATTTGCACAGAGTCCTAAAAGGTTATGTTTTTGCTTGTCAAGTGTCTTTTAAACTCTCACAGTTTTTTTCCATTTAGCTTTGGTAGTACTCTTGAAGGAGGCTGTGTTGTTTCTGCAGCAACCATTGTCACAGGATGTTGTTTTATCTTTACCAACTACAGGATTAGAATGTGGGTACCGATGTCAAGCACACACCTTTCTGAGTTTGTTAAGATTCTGCAGCAATAAGAATGTGTCTAAGGATGATCAAACGCAGAGCTAATCTATAAGACTGGAAAGCGATAGCTGTGGTCGCATAGTGGTCTGTACTCTGAAAATTGAGCCAAAGCAGAGGTCGCCATGATATGTGTTGTCCACATAGTGCTGGCAGGAGGGTTTTAACTCAACCTAGGGACCTCCTTCCTATCTTTCTGTAGGAGCAATAAGGTTACCAGAACCCTTTACATGACAGGAGGCACTGCCTACATCACAGGTTTTGACAAAAATACATCTTTCTTTTCATCTACTCTGTGGCACATGCCGATTTCAACACTTCCATAGCTTCATTTTGGTTTTGTGATGGAGAGCTTCAACCATTGGCTATATTTGTGTAATTTTAGTTGTTTTGTGATTTTTTTTTACAGTTTTTGTACCTTTTGTAGTTGTATGCATAAAACTTCCCCTGCAGAAGAGCTCACTTTATGTGTGTAGGATCTGTCCGTGCATCACGTCCTGAAATTTGGTGGATTCGGTGGATAACAAAACCATGACATTTTTTCCATCTCTGCTAGTATTCTACCAAAGATGGCAGTTCCACTCTGTCTCTTGGAGTAAAGGCTGATTTTACACTTTACACAACCATACTACCTCCTGATCCTAGTTCCTTCCCATCTACCAGAGCTATTCAGGTAGCACTTATGTTGACCCAAAACACACTTTTGCCAACAGCTCTAGTACCCTTACTGAATTGTGATATAGATGGAGCCAAACAAGATGACAGAGTAAATGCTTTCAGGATAGGTTAAAGAAAACAATACTGAAAACATCCTGCTACTCATCAGTGTTGGTCCATGGAATAACCCGCAGTATAAACTTAACTATCTGCTTTTCTGAAACCAAAACTCTAGAAGATGCGAGGATTCACCTCAGAAATGATTTTGCATGTATAATGCTTTCTGAAGCAGGGCATGGATCTTTCTTTTCTTCCAATAAAACTGAAAACCATACCTCTATAAATTACCATCCCTTTTTATGGAGCTAGCTAATCAAATCGTTGCTCTTAAAAAATATATATAAGTTGTAGGATGTTGTAGTGTGGAGGCTGCAGCGCCTTCATCTGGGCTCCTCTTCCCTCCATTAATGACATTTCATCCCAGCGCTAGATGCCCCAAGCCCGTAACCATCATTCTACCACCATGGACCTACATTCACAGAATGTGCTGCAGGTCCAGCAGGTTCTGGAACAGCTTTTATCCTGCTGCCATCAGTCGAACGGTTAAACTCTAAACTGGATTCTGCATCTTATTTTGCACTACCGAGATGCTGAACTTCTTAAATTCTTTTACATTCAGTAGGCGCGTTCTACTGCATTTTTCAACATGTTTTCTTTTATCCTAAAATGTTAATTCTGATCAATGCTGCACTTTATAAATGGTTATGTTTATTTCATTGTTTAACAGTTAATAGTTGGAAACAGTATGCAACTAAATTTTTATTACATTCTGTGCATATAAAATGACAAAGTTTGTCTAAGTCTCATTATATACCTGATAATGTAGAGCCAGTGTTAAAATCTAGATCCACACTATTCAGAAAAGCAGAATTATTCCTAATGCACCTTTTATCTCCTTGTTTGCACCTTCTTTAACTACTATGCCAATATGTGACGAGTGAATTTCTCCTCTGTGAGATCAATAAAGCTCATCTAATCTAATCTAATAAAAAAAAAAAAAAACTTTGTAATTAAAATTGTCAGTCAATATGACCAATCATGCAGTTTCCTTTTCCACATGTGCAGATTTAGTAGGACGTGAATCACAAGTTTTATTTGTTTCAAAAAATGACACTTGTCTTGGTTTGAAGTGGATATTTTTCTGTTTGATAGTAATGAATGCATATTATGTTATTGCTGAGTACATTTTACAATGACCACTAAAATGAGGGTAAGATCAAATAAGTGTAAACTTGATATTGTGTATTTGAAATTATGACTTTTTAAAATAGAAAAATGCTTACGTTTTAAGGTGCCAGAAGCATATAAAGCTCAAATATGTGCTGCCATGTATAAAGACTAACTCAGAATAAAATAACAAATACAAAATGAAAAACAGAAAAAGCAGGCTGGATTTCTGGAATAGAGGGAATTCTTTATTTAAATTTCATGGTGATAAAAGCTTTTTATTCATTACACAACATACACTAATAATTGTATCACACTACTGCTCTTTGCCTGAGGGTGTATAAACCACAGAATGCAAACATCAGTTCATGAGGACATGACATTAAAACAAAACATACTTGGTCCTGTGAGCTGGATTTTGGCTGGCTCATCACATCCTTAATCTGGCATTAACAGAACATACAGTATTCGAAAGGGACGAGAAAATGCACATTACATGAACAAAGAGAAAAGAAAAGGTGGAGGTAGATGCACGATAAACTAGGAATGATGTGTATAAAGCCATGCACAGCTTTTTGATATTTATAGTCTGAAGGTATAGCAATACAGAGCTATTGTGGTTTTTCTTATGGGTGAATTAAAAAGGTATTTTGGTCTGTTTGCCACATTTTCTTACAACACAATCCGAGAACACATTTTGCTAAGCAATATTTATTTGTTAGACTAACAATGCTTCTCATTCATGAATGGAATGCTGAAATTACAATAACCTGCTGGATATAAGAGGCTTATAATTTGAACATCCATTGCAAAATATTAGCTTCACTTTTTAGATAAAAACATGGCAGTTGAGAACAAACACCAAACACTAAGATGTAGCAAATAATTCAGTTATTGGAGTTTTTCACATATTTTCTACTTAATCCTTATTTTTCACTCACATTTATGGTAATTATAATTATTTTTTTTTTACAATAGTAAACCAAATAATGTTAGCATCTGAATGTTACACTTTTTTTAATGAACCTATTCCATTACGTTTACTTTGCTCAAGGTAAAACAAAGTTACTTGTTTCCGTTTGTGATGCTTAATAAATAATGGCAAAGAGAACAAAGCAACTCTGGTGATATTCTGAATGCAAATCAGAAGAAAAAAAATGACACCTAAAGCAGAAGAAACAGGAGCCTTACAGTACAAACTAGAAATATGGCGTCATTGAAACTTTCTTATTACAGTTTCACAGTCAGTCACAACACAAACACACTGGGTTCAGGATGGAATGATAAACATGTCTTTACTGGGACACTAAAGTATAAACAGGGAGTGTAATCAGAGATATAAGCATTTCTATCAAACTGCCAAAACACCAAAACTGCAACTACAGCAACCACTGATCAACAATGACTTCTCAACGTGAAAATACACCTAAAATTTTTATTTGGATTTATCATTTACTTCTTGGGTTCCCTTGTCCTGGCAGTTAGCTACAGACACAGAAAATAAACGACCACTAGGTTTTCTAGAAGGAGGAAAGTAGCTGTGAACTCAGTTTTTCAGGATAGAGTCATACATTTGGTAGATGTACTGAGACACTTCAGGGGCCCGACACTTCAGAGAAAGCTGAAACAAAAGACAACAATATGAGTTATTTCATATTTGGTGAAAATGTCAGTGCCTTTTCTAAGGATACAAATTCTGTATTTACACTGCAGAATTATTAGGCAAAAGAGTATTTCAACCAGATCATCCTTTTCATACATGTTGTCCTACTTCAAGCTGTATAGGCTTGAAAGCCAACTACCAATTAAGTAAATCAGGTGGTGTGCATCTCTGTAATGAGAAGGGGTGTGGCCTAATGACATCAACACCCTATATAAGGTGTGCTTAATTATTAGGCAACTTCCTTTCCTTTGGCAAAATGGGTCAGAAAATAGATTTGACACACTCTGAAAAGTCAAAAATTGTCAGATGTCTTTCAGAGGGTTGGAGCAAATTGGAAATTGTCAAGCTTATGAAGCGGGATCCTTGCAAAATCAAGCGGTTCATGGCAAATAGCCAACAGGGGCGCAAGAAGCGTCTTAAAAAAAAAAGACCCAAAATAACTCCCCATGAATTGAGAAGGATCAAGCGTTAAGCTGCCAGGAAGCCATTAGCCACCAGTTGTGCCATATTTCAGAGCTGCAACATGTCTGGAGTGCCGAGAAGCACAAGGTGCTCAATACTCAGGGACCTGGCCAAGGTAAGAAAAGCCAAAAAAAGGCCACCTTTGAACAAGACACACAAGACAAAACGTCAAGATTGCGTTTTTCGCTATTTTGCCAGCAGGTTTGGACATTTTAAGTTAATTTGGGTATTAATTAACCTTTTCAGTGAAGTGATCATATTAGGTTTACTTTGCATTTTACGTGAAAAAATTATTCTCCTTGCCTTTGGTGTAAACCTAGCAGAGTTAGTAGATATATACATATTCTTGTTCCTTTTTTATGTCTTTATGTGGGCAGTTCTTCATGAGCAGAAATCACAGCTTGGGGTTGATGTGACACGATGAGCGGCAAAAGTTCTGATTTTCCAACTTCATCATAAGTTGCTTATGAAGTGCATCACATGCCTAATATGCTAAATGCTTCAAAATACAGTGCTCCTGCTGGTCGAGATACACTGCTGGCTCTTTTGAGGTGCTTTAACCATAGACTTACATGTAAGCCATCTGCTTCTGTTGCTCATATCGTGTTCGATGAGAACGCAGCATTAGAATCAAACTACTTTACAGAAATATGTAGGAAACACCTTCATGCTTCAAAGATCACAATTTTAGATCAAGAGAATTGAATGAATAGTCACAGCATTAAAGAGAAAAACAACTTTAGTAAGTTCTAATTTGTTAAGTTGAATAAATCCTATATTTACTAGTGTGTAAAGTAATGAACACTTTCAAAAAGTTATTTTACTACTTCGACAAAGATGAAATCAAACTAAAAAGTGCATTATATTATTAGAGTGCACATAGCCCTCACCCAGTAAATTAGCAGTAAATGACTGGGTAATACAAGCGTGAAAAGAGCTTCATATCCATTTTTTTTATACTACTAGTCAAAAGAAGATCAACTACTAAAAATAAAATAAACGTGGATGGTCTAAAATGCCATCATAATGCAGTGTTTCCCATTAAACGAGATCTTGTTTGGGCCCGCCACAGTCTTACATAGACACAGAGAGAGGGAAAACAACAACAAAAAGATCTGTCAGTTTATCAGATAATTCCACGGCTGTACTTTCATAGCACCCGTAACCCAGCGCCATAGAGAGACAACTTGTTTACGGCCGTAACCAAGCGACAGGAAGAATGCGCGCCACACTCATAGACGTCACTTATTTCTTGATACATTTGGCGTATCAAATCCAGCAACGTAAGAGCGTGATGTCTGACTGAGGTAAGTGCAACTTCATTTTTGGGCAATAGAGCTATCATGTTGGTTTGTGGATCAGTAGGCTATGTTGTTGATCTCATCAAGCTAGTCAACTTCTAACATACCAAACCGATTCTAACTTTCTGACCTTCATGGTCAGTGGCGGTTCTACTCTCCGGGCTAGACCAACTCCAAGCGCCAGTTATATTGGTTTCGAAGCGCGCCCCCCGCCCTCCTTTATAAAAGTGCCGCCCCGGCTGCCCCGTTCGCCTGTGCAGCGTTGCCAATCGGCGACTCTGTCACTATATTTACCAACTTTCAGACCCCTGCAACGACTCTTTTTCAAAAAAAGTCATACATGCACTGCTTTGTTTTTAAAAAATATAAATATAAAAAATATAATCCCGGATGTCTGGGGGACAGTGATTCGCCTACATGTTATGAATGCTGGCGTACCATAAATGATAAACTGTGAATTTGTGCCTTCAAGTTGTTGCCACATAATAGTATTTCTCCTTTTGTTCCATGAGGGTTCCAGAGTGGGTGGTGGGATTTGATTTTTTTGTTTATATGGATCTTACTTTTAAACAACAAAATATCAAAATTTCTAGTTAATATAGTGCATTTATAGGAGGGATATAATAGAACCTATTGAAGACAACACATTTTAGAACTTTTCAAAGCTATGGAGATCAAATCTACAACTGCTTAACTGTTATAATATCAGGCTCCTAGCTGTGGAAAAAAGAAAAAAAACATTTTTTTACCGTGTAATTTGGATTCCCCGGTTGAATGCGGAGTTCAGCCAGGATCCAGATGCCGTTGGTTAGCTTGAGTGACTGATACAGCATGTCCTGGCCTTCTACATTTCTTTTGGCAATGGTGTAGATGTTGTTATTTTGCAGTTTGCCAGATACTGTGTCTGGAAGAGCAAAATACAATCAGTTCATAGTAGGAGAGGCCCCATAACTTATGGTCTGGGATGTATTAACTACCATAAGCAAAAAAAAAAACATAAACAAACACATAGAGACAAGGCTAGAATAACTACTAGGAGCTACAGCAACATTTTGCAAACTCACAATTAATCTACGGCTACATGTTCTAGCTCTATGAGGATTTAAAGCAAATCAGCTACTGTTAGGTTCCAATAAAGAGGACAAGGTTCTAAACTGAGCTTCTATTGCAGCCCATTGTAGCTTCATAGCTATGAGGAGGACAGAACTATCAAAATGAGTAAAACAAATATAGATAAAAACAAGTATCCAAAGATGAGCATGCAGGTGGAAAAAAGCAGAAGAAAAGTTTAAGATTCTAATAATCAAAACAGACATTACCACATTGGATTTCATATCAAATGAAGCATTACAAATAGTAACCGAGCAGAATATATTCCCAGAATCAAGAGGCGGCAACACTGAAGAGGAACTCAATATAAAATCTGCTGAAAATAAGAGTTTTAGAGATTCACTGAGAAACCAGAGGGTGATTACTATGATCGGTAAATGTTAGCTAAGGGTATTGGAAATAGCTGGATTTTATAATGTTGCCAACATTTTAGAAATCACAGAGCTCAAATAAGTTTAAATTCTATAGCGTAATGGTGGTCTCATTCCAGGCCACCTAGGCTGATTTCCCACATGTTTTATTAGTGTCCCTGAACTTCTGCAGAGGCCTGTTAAACTGTCCTTTTCATTCAGGTAAACTAAAATATGGCATTTTCTGAAAAGTACAGGTCAACAACTTTTCAGAGCTTACAAGGGAAATTGCAGCTCAAGTTCCATACTAGCCTTTTTAATCACCAATTTTTGCATCTAATCTTCAACTATTTATTAAAAGGGGTCTAGTCATGTTTTTTGACTTTATCATTTTCCTTAGCAATAGCTCATATTGTTGCATAAAAAACATTTTATGATTTAATTATACAACTTTGTTGGCTTGTTGTATATTATTTCTACTTTTACCCTTTTTTGGTCCATTTGTTATTTTAAACTTCAGTGTTTTTGGTATTTACTAAATAGATAATGTCACAACCATACAATGAGTAAACAAGAAAGTAATTTTGCCAATGGAGGTTTGTAAAAATAGAGGAAATGTCAAAGATCCAGCGTGAAAAAGTAAAAACAATATTGTATGGTAGGAGGGATAATACAGGAGTAGCACCTGAATGCAAGAGGGATGCTGGAGTTCACTGAAGTGGGAGCTAAAGCTGTCAAGATGATGGATGCCTGAGCAAAGACTACCAGCACATGGCTATGGGTGCGATGTCTAGGAATGCACCGAAACTTTTCAGCCGAAAATGACCTAAAAGTGCATTTTTGGTTTTCAGCCAAAACACGGCTGACATTAATAAAAGGACTGAAGTGTTTGAAAATGCAAGAAAGTTTACCAGTGATTTCCAAGGCAAAGAGCACAACAGATAAAGATTCCAGGGGTAAATAAATATTTTAAAACTTTTGATTTTTTGAAATGCCTTAAGTTTAAAAAAAATTATGAGTTTTTTAAGACTGTTAGTACACATCGTAGCCAAAATTGTATGGTTCTATTATTTTACTTAATCATTTATTTCAGTGGTTTGGTTTTTTGACCTTGGTTTCCTAATTTAACGTTTTCCATTTTGGCCAAGATTTTTCATTTAAGTGCATTCCAAATTATGTCTCCTGATCTCAACCTGTGCAAAAGTTCAATTTAGACAAAAAAAAAAGAACCAAGTATACACTATTCATGATTACATTGCTTCACTTCAACATGAACATATGTTTTTTGGTGTTTTTGGTATTGCCATAGTAGGTGAATAGGTCCCTTAAAGGACTCCTCTGTTAGTCATAACAAAACATACAAATCTGAATCATATCAATCCTGATTGAAATAAGCCAGACCACTCTGAGAGGTACATCTTTAGTTAAAGGTGTAGGAGATATGTTGAGTAAAACTAAAAAGAATAAAAGTCTGCAAAGAACAAAAATGCAAAGAAAACCTAGATTGAGATGCCTACCAGCGTTTAGGTGGCAGTCTTTGATCTGATACTGAAGTTCATTCTCATTGGGTATGTCCTTCCAGGTAGCCAGAAACACCTGTCGCTCTGAAAACAATGAAACATATACAGCAATAAATATCTAATTATTTTGTATGATATGCAGAGTCTATTATACAATCTATATCTACACATATATACATACCGTTACAGTAGTAACAGCAACACATAATATCTAATGGTGCTGCCAATGGCCTGGCCAGCTAAGCTTTGACTGAGGGGCTGGACAAAAGCTTGGTTTTGGTCCCCTTTCATTGTTATATAAACAATCCATGCAGTTTGAACAGCTTAACTAGGTCAGGCATCTGCCTCGCTGAAGCTCTCAGACTGAAGACAGACCCCGCCTCACCTCCTCTACTCAGTTTCTGAGGCTGTCAGTCACAGCAGTGTGGACATGGACAGACAGCCAAAGACAAGCAGAGGGGTAGAAAAATTGGAGCGGGTGGAATAATCTTTCCTGCTGTAAATACATTTATGTTCATAATAGAGCAGGTAAAACATAAGACTAGGGGGGGGGGGTCACAAAAGTAGCATAGCCACTCCAGCACAACTAGCTTATAACACATTTGTTTAACAATAAAATATCCAGGAATTTAGATTATGCAAACCCCTCATTACCTGTGCTTATTTTTTATTTCATTTTGACAGATTTGAATTAAAGTCAAATTAATTTGTGATTCAACCAAAGTTTCCTGACATGAGAACCTGTTATGCAAATAGTAGTAGTGCTTCCTCAGTCTAATGATGTCCAAACCAGGTACCTTAAATTCCGGGCTATAAGCTGCTACTTTTTTTCCGCTGTTTGAACACCGCGGCCTATAACACAGTGTGGCTAATACATGTTTTTTTTCACCAAAACTGGCCGCATGCGAAGGGCATCTTTCACTGATGTCTGCCAGTGGGTTCTCAATGCGTGGAGCCGTGTGAAAACATCCAGCATCACCGGCGGGTTTCGGAAGGCTGGGCTGCTGCGGGATGAAGAGGACCGCGAGTGCTCAAGTGAGAGCGACAAGGATGAGACTGCTTTGTTCAATTAAAAGTACCGGTATATGCAGCGTTATTTGCCTGTTACCGACACATATGTATATTTAAATGTGTTACAGGTAGTTTGAAAAAAAAAAAACATTAATAATATGTACTGTATTTGTTTGTTTTATCATACGGATTAAATCAAACGTTAAAAAAATGCTCACGTGTAATATCTATATATATTATTTGTAAATATCTCATACAACGTGGGAAACCTGCGGCTTAAAATCCGGTGCGGCTTATAAAAGTACAAAATTTATTTTCTTTCTAAAATTAGAGTGTGCGGCTTGTAATCAGGTGAGCTCTATAGTCCGGAATTTACGGTATTATTTATTTTCAAAAAGTATTTTTAAAAGTCTGTAAAAAACGTTTTTAAAAATCATACCCATTTTTCCATCTTCAACAAAGAATATGTTTAGAGGGATGAGGACGCTGAAGTAGAACACATCAATGTTGTTCTTTACAGCCACCTGTGAAGTTAGAGCAGAAAAAATTCATTAACGTATTTGAGGAATATAAACCAAAAATGTCTAATAAACATGCACTTCCAGAACAATTTAAAAGCAAATGAAGAATCATTCAAAGAAATGAGGAATATCAAAATACAATTATTTGCTGCCATGCCTGAATTTCCCCACTGTGGGATTTTAAAGGGACATACTTCTATTGTTATACAGTGAAATCCTATAGATGGTCACTCAACATTGACCAACCTTTATTTAGTAAGGACATGTTCATGTACCTGCAGGTTATTCAGTGGATCCATCTTCATGACGGGCCCAATGGTGTTTACAGGCAGGGAGATCTCAATACTCTGATTGGGCATGAGTGGGGTGTGAATGGGCAGAGGATTGGTGGGGATCACACCAAAACTGCAGGGAGGACAGAATTATAAACCTGTTGCCATTTGCTGCAAAGTTTCAGCTAAAATTTGTGAATGCTGATCCGGTAGAAAAATTATTCTATTCCAGCGAACAAACCTGTTTTTGTTAAACTGGATGGCGAAATCGTTCATGTGTTGCAGGGCCTTGTTGGTGAATGACATGTCCATGTACATGTGGCCTTGGCGGCGGGAGAATGTTCCAGAGATTTCCAGCCCTTTTGCTTTTACTGCAGGAAGCCACACCTGTAAAAAAAAAAAAAACAGCTGCATTTAGAACATCATACATTGTTGCGTTGCGGCAGGAAGGGCATTGTCATAAAACTTTTGCCAAGTCTAACAAGTCAGTCATAACGACTTGCTGTACAACTCTTGAATAAGGCAGCAGCTGAAAGGAGACAAATAAAGGGACTCAAAATGTTAACTTTTTTTTTACTTTTCAGTAGTGCTGGACGAAAAGGCCAAAACTTATATAACTATATATATATATATTTCCAAATTGTGGTCGTTACATTATCACTTTAAAATTGTTATAAAGGCCTCAGAAACACTAAAGAATGCCCCCCATGGAATCTTATGACAATTATTAAACTCTTCAGTATACTCCTAAAAGCTATATACATGCACAGAAAACAAGTTACTTAACATAATTAGTAATCCTATAAAGCATTTAACATTTGATTAAAATCAGTTTAGATAAGTCTAAAAGTACACGGATAAAAGCTGCTTTTGCTGAAAGACTGCCTGGAGTCTAACTGAGCCACTTTAATATTGTATTTAATACGATATAAACCATATAAAAATCTATAACCACTGTTTAAAAATGTTGCAGGTCATTAACAAACAGGGGTTTACGGTTTCTTTTAAGGCAAAAAGCATATTTACTTAACCGTAAAGCACAAAAAAACACCAGCTGATTCCAAATTCTCACTGGCTGAAGCATCACTGCTCTTTACTTCAATATTTAATGATATTGGAGAGCTTGCATAAAAAAACAAACAAAACAAAACATAATTGGGTTTTGTGTGACAATTATTTGCTTTCTAAGCAGATTTATTTTCTTAAGCATTGCATTTTGCTCAAAATTCAAATCAACCATGTCACACGACATTAACAGCTTAACAGAGTCGGACTGTTGTCCAAGTACTTC